AACCCCCTCCTCAACTGATGTGTTCTCTATGCGTGGCAGAGATTGGGAGTGCATCTCACACTAGGGTAGGACTTATACTCATTGCGACCAGTTTCGGTCGGAAAAGTCCTACCATGGCCCCCTGACCAGAATGCACTGTCTAATTATCCTAGACCGAATGTTGGCCCAAATACATTCCGGGTGGTAGCTCAATTGGTTAGAGCTCTGGCGGCGGGTTGGACTCCGGTCGGCCCTGATCCTCTCCTGGGCACACTCGGTTGGTGTAAGAATGACACCCCACCTACTTGCCCCTATCGTCTTCATCCGAATAGAATAGAATGCCCGGTCTTTATTGCTGTATTTGACACAACTGGCGGTCCAGATGCAGATGTTGATTCGGGTTTTATGGCATTTTCACTATGATAATGACCGGGGGCGTTCTATTCAGGCGAAGACTGTAGTGCAGTCCACATGCACAGTCATATGAGGGGGGTAGGGCATTCTGAGGGGGAGGGGTCGAAGGGGGAGCATGCTTCTCTGAAGGCACCATCATGGAGGGGGGTGGGCGTCCTTGAAGGGGGTCAGTGAAGATTAGGGGTGTGTTGTTTCTTGTAAAAAAGAAAAAAGAAAAGAAAAAGAAAAAAAAAAAGATTAGGGGTGTGTTCTACCTTGAGCCTTGAGTCGTGCTTGCCAAGGTAAAATCTCACCGTGTTCTCTCTCGCTTGGGGGGGGGGGGGGGGGCATACGGGAGTTAATCTCCGCAGGGGGGACCAGGAGCAGATGGGAAGTATCCTTCCCCGAGTACTGGGTGGCAGGGGAGAGATAAGGGGTTTAGAGGGGGTTAGAGGGGTTTAGAGGGGTTAAGAGAGGTTTAGAGGGCTCGGGCAAACCTAGGGGGGGTATGGCTCTGTGAAGGCACCGGGTTACGACCGTCCTTGTGGGAGCGAGAGAAGATTAGGGGTGGTACCCTACCTTGGCGCGCAGGGTGGCAGCGTAGTATCAGGGGACCACCATAGCAGGGGGTTCTGTTGGTGGGTCACTGCGGTTGCACTCAGCCGATTATGCGGAGTAAATCGGGATCTTGCAAGATAATGACTTGTGATGAGTTAATGCAAGACGAAAGACGACGACTTAATGCAAGATAACGACTCCACCGCTCCCAATCAACGCCTTGCGACATTGCCACTCGAAAAAGAAAGGAATTGCTGCTCAAGATCCGTACTCCAAACGAGGTATTACTAGACATACCGCAAATCAATCTCTGCGCTACTGCAGCCGGGCTTCTTCGGATCCTCTGCGGTATTGCCTGCACTTGCTCTCTCTCTCTCTCTCTCTCTCTCTCTCTCTCNTCTCTCTCTCTCTCTCTCTCTCTCTCTCTCTCTCTCTCTCTCTCTCTCTCTCTCTCTCTCGCTCGCTCGCTCGCTCTCTCTCTCTCTCTCTCTCCGGGAGACGAGAACGAGGGAAGGCAAAATATGGCAGTTGGACGACCCTTTCATGCAGGCGAAGAGTTTATCTATCTATCTATCTATCTATCTATCTATCTATCTATCTATCTATCTATCTATCTATCTATCTATCGATCGATCGATCGATCTCGGTATTGCGAGTCTGAAGGATCGCCTGTCGGTCCATTGCACGCGCACGAGGAAGAGGGGACTTTATGCTTGATGATGCCATGTGTGTGCTCGATGATTACTTGATGATGCCATGTGTGTGCAGGATGATATCTGCGCTGTTGTCAGGGATGACTGATTGCGTGGAGCGATTGTCGCCTACTCCATCTGTCTTCGCTGTTTTGCTGTTTCGCTGTCTCGTCAGACTCATCAGGGGAGCGCCAAACGGAACGGAGCGGCAATCGGAACGGAGCGGCAAACGGAACGGAACTGGAAAGTCAGTGGAACCGCGCACGGCGGATGGACACGTGTGGCTTGGTGGCAGTTTTTTTTTTCTTTTTTCAGCGATTCATCGTGCATTCTTCCGAGGAGACAGGAGATCAAAAAAATTAATTATCTCGCTCACATGATGGTACTTTTGCCGCTTGCATCCTCAGCTACCTTCTTCCCCCGAATAGAACGCTATGGTCATTATCGCGGTATCTAAGACTGACGGTTGCCCCAAATACAGCTAAATAAAATGACCCGGCGTTCCATTCAGGGGAAGACCGTAGTATGGCAGGTACTCCTGTGTGTGGTGTAGCATCCTCCGTTGTACCTTTTTTTTTTTTATCTTTTTTTCTGTTTCTTTCTTTTTTTTTTTCTTTTTTTTTTTCTTGTTTATGGGGGGCATTCGGATTTGAACTCGGGTGTGTATTTCAGCAGTGGGTGCATGTGCACGAACTGAGCAGGTCCCCCATTTCCACTTTAGGCGATTCGCCTAAATGCCTGTGAACCCCAGTTCAGGCACTTAGTCGTAGTGACCCCGAGTTCAGGCACTTAGTCGTAGTGACCCCCAGTTCAGGCACTTAGTCGTATATAAGGTGAAATTGTGTATGCTCTGCTTTCCATATGAAGCGCTAACCGTAGTTAAAAGACATTCCCAGCTTCAGCTCTACATGTGTAGGTGAGAAATACACTCTCTGGGTGATTGCGCAGGTGTTTGTTTACCCAACTGGTGCCTTCTGCAGAGCAAGCATTTGATCCGTTCTACCTGTTTCTGTGCACTGATTGGTGTACACTGACTGGAAGAAATAGGAGGAGGAGGAGGAGGAGGAGGAGGAGGAGGAGGAGGAGGAATGTTCACAAAGCATTTTACTGGCAGGAGGAGAGGAGGAGGAGGAGGAGGAGGAGGAGGAAGAGGAGGAGGAAAAGGAATGTTCACAAAGCATTTTACTGGCAAGAGGAGAGGAGGAAGAGGCATATTCAAAAAAGATTTTGCTGGCCAGGCGAGAGGAGCAGGAGGGGGAGGACGATGAATATATGGTGTCGATGGAGTGGTAGGAGGAGGAGGAGGAGGGGGAGGAGGAGGAGGAATGTAGGGTGCCCATGAAGGTGTATAGCAACGTTTTGCGAGAGCACGTCATCACCAAGGACTGTCTGGATTTTATTTAGATAGATGCACGGGTGTCACTCTGACTGCTCCTCTTCAGTAGCAGCTGCTGTTCAATTAAAAAAAAAAAAAAAAAAAAAAAAAAAAAAAAAAGAGCTGCTGTCCTTACTGCTGTGATACGTTGACCATAATCACAACAAGGCTATTATCGGTTTCCCCCGAATACAACGCACTTGTCATTATCGCTCTATCTTTTCCTATAGACTGCAAAACTTGATCCGAAAACAGCTAACAGCTATAATGACCGTGCGTTCTATTCGGTTGAAGACGGTAATGGCGGGGAGCGTTGATATCATTATCGTCGCTGTCTCGTAAAAAGCCGTGACAAAGCGTCGCCTCCTTAAAAGTCATTACATGGTGGTGGTTTTACATTGACAGGCGGCGAGGATGATGAGGTGCGTATATTGCCCTGCGATCTGATCTGTGCGAATGAATGGAGGGTATGGGATATCACATTGCAATGATGTTGTTTGTGCATGTTTGTTTGTTCGTCCAGCTGGAAGATAGATAGATAGATAGATAGATAGATAGATAGGTTGGTTGGTTGATTGGACGGAGAAAGAAAAAGACAAAAGCGGATGGCGATGGATTATGCGAGTTCATGAATGAAATGAAAGTCTTCTTCGTGTGTCCCCTCGTTTGTTGTCCTCTTCTCCCTCTCCGCGTACGACTCACCGGGCAGTTCTCTATGGCGAGATATATATACACAGAGAGAGAGAGAGAGAGAGAGAGAGTGTGGAACTCTGTCGGAACAGTGTCACTGGTCCTCGTTTGCTGTCCTCTTCTCCATCTCTGCCTACGCTTTACCGTAGGCACTTCTGTTTGACGGTAACAGAGCTGCCTACGGTAAAGAGGGAGGGAGGGAGAAGAGGACAACAAACGAGGGGCTGTGAGCCTGTGACAAACTGTTATATATGTATATCGTCAAAAATATATGACGCTAATCAATCAACAGACAGTAGTTCAGCGGTTGACAGAAGGAGACGATGAGAAAGGGGAGCAGGTAAGAGAGAGAAGGAACGATGAGTAATGGGGACCTGGGCACAGCTTCTGCCATGGCTGTGGCTGTTCCAGTTTCACTTACAAGCGGAGTCTTATATCCCGCCTTCTCCAACATGGCACTGCGCCTAGACAGATCGAAATTGAATCCTCCCGAGGGAGGCATCTCTCTCTCTCTCTCTCTCTCTCTCTCTCTCTCTCTCTCTCTCTCTCTCTCTCTCTCTCTCTCTCTCTCTCTC